CGTTGGCTGTGGAGCGCCGGAAGTAGAACAGCGGATTGAAAGTCCAGACGTGAATCAAGGGCTCGGACAAGAATGGCTATGGAGGGGGGGGGAAGGAAGGAAGAGGCATGTTCAAAGGTTCCACCTAGAACACTCTGCCAGATTCATGCTGTCCGCCACAGCGACGTAATCACAGAGTGCAGTGGCTTCGGGCTCCTGAGAGCCCTTGATATTGAGTGTGCCATATGCATATTCACTTTCATTTCACGGGCCCAGACTCCCACTTGACGCACCGGGGCGCTCTCGTGATTCCCCGCGTGGTTTTTCAAGAGGCCTCGGGAACTTGGCTGGAAGCCTCAACCCGCAACGTGGCCCAATGATGTAACACAGGTCGGCGCTGGAGCATTGAAAGGCCCATGACTCAAGAAGCATGAGCTAACCTTTGACAGTGAGGGCGCCCAAATACGGCCCAGGAGGCCCACAAGATCGGCCCAAGACGGCTCATGCCCACAACTGGAGCCACATAGGCCTCCAAGACGGCTCCAAGAGGAGCCGCCCGCACTGACATTTGGAGCCATCCACCCCCCGATGGGCTCCGAGACCGCCAGCAAGCCCCGAAGGGGCACCGGACAGGCCCCGAGGGGCCCAAAGAGGTCCGCAGAAGGACCCCTAAGAGACCCTAGAGGCCCTCAAGAGGCCATCCAGAGGCCCACAAGGTGAACGCTTTCAAAATTCGGCGTTTCGACATTGGGCCGAAGGGGGGGAGGAGGGGTCTGGCTCGGGAACTCTGCTCAATGCGACTGTTTGCAACAGAGCGTCCTGTGGGGGAGACTCCACCTGCTCAAAACAGGCGCCAAACACAGCCAAGATCTACTCCATGGGGGGGGGCAGGGGGGGGCAAGGGCCCGCGCCGATCGACAAAACAATGAATAAGAAAACGATCAGCAAGAAGTTTCCCAGAGACGCCAAGGAGGCCTCTACTTCGCCGCTGGTCTACGATTCAAGCATGGTGGTGGGATGGGCTGACGGCCACTAGATTGTACGTCACCGTTCGTTGGGCACTGTGTTAATTGCCCAAATGCCCTTTTGACCCTCGTGACCCTAAAGTGCGTCCAGCTGAAAGGGGGTGGTGAAATAGATTTGGGGCAATGGGACTGCAAATGTATTGCGCCAGATAATTGTATTGCATTGTATTGAACAAGTGGGTTGCACGCGATAATGCAACAATAAATTTGCGCCTCGGAATACATTGTGCACCCCAAACCTATTGCAACCCCACAAATTTATTGCACCACCCTGTTTTCGCTGGACCCCCGTCTGGCTCAACCAGATGTTAGCTCTCTGCGTTGAGATACTCTGCTCAACAACAGGGGCATACAACGACGACTTCTTGAGGCGTTCCGCGTTACGCCTGGGGTGCGTCGCGTGACTTTTCCGAAGGCAAGGGGGCTCCAAGACGGGCCAAGAGGCTCCCATCAGGGACCCAAGACGGCCCACGATGTCCCAGAGGCGCCCCCAGCGAGCTCCAGGGAGGCAGCAAGATGCAACAAATACTTGATGTGTCCTCATGTGCTTGAATGTGTGTTTCGTGGTCATTAATTCGGGCATCATAACTCCCAAGACTGCCCTTGAGGCACCGTGCATCGCCCAAAGATGGCGAGGCCTCAAGATGGCCCTATGACGGCCCAAGACAGCTCCACGACGGCCCGGGAGGCTCCCATGACGCTCCAAGAGGCGAGCAAGAGAGAGAGAGAGAGAGAGCGACAGTCACACACATACACACACACACACACACCTCACACACCTTCATGAATATGTGTACAAAGAAAGGAGATATTCATAGAGAGAGAGAGAGGGAACAGCACAACAAAGAAAGAGAAAAATACACAAAAAACGAAGGTGTCTCGGAAGCCTTCAACCCAACGACTGCCCCCAAGACCTCCAACATGTCCCGAAGAGCCCCCCAGAAAGGCAGCTCGCCAAGAGGCCCCACAGAGGCCCCCAAGAGACTTCAAAGAGATCCTCAAGACAACTCCGAGAGGCCCCCGAGAGGCATCCAAAGCGACCTCACAAGGAATCCAAGAGGCCTCTGGCCCACATCCCAGGCACGATGGCGGGATTGACCGAAGACCGCATGCTTGTTTGGGACAGCGAGCCCAGCATGCGCTCTCGACGGAACATCACTGGTCGGAATCGATCGGTAATTCGTTTGTTGAGCAGGGACCGGCCGTCCCTGCATTCCTATAGGCCTACCACGACATGTTTTTAGAACCCAGAAATGTTCGAATCACAGAAGCAGTTTTCTTAGAACATCAACCGATGTGTTGTAACAAGACAGTCCCAACCAGACATGTTCAACATTTCGTGGAAACCACCTTGTTTTGTAGGCTTATAGGACGCTTCGCTACTGCTTGAGTTTGGTCTGCTTGGCTCACCGTGAGGTGGGCGACGCCGCATCTCTCATTGATGGCCCGAGAAGGAGAGGTGCCTGCCGCTCGCCTCGCACTCGCAGCGTCTTCGGGTTCCTCGTGGTCGGCTGGGGTCATCCTCTGGCACTCCTGGGGCGTCTGGAGAACACGGTTTCCCCCAGGGCCGTAGGCGACCCGAGGAGGAGGGGGAGGAGGAGGAGGAGGAGGAGGAGGAGGAGGAGGAGGAGGAGGGGGAGGAGGAGAGAAGGAGTAGGGGAAGGAGGAGGAGGAGGGACGAGGAGGAGCGAGGGGGAGGAGGGGGAGAGGAGGAAGAGGAGGAGGGGGAGGAGGAGGAGGAGAGGGAGGAGGAGGAGGAGGATGAGAAGGAGGGAGGAGGAGGAGGAGGAGGAGGAGGAGGAGGAGGAGGAGGAGGAGGAGGACGGGTCGCCTAAGCCCTTCGGAGAAACCCTCCACTCTGGGGTAGCCTTGGAAGCATATTGGATAGTGGGGCACTCTTGAGGCCCCATGCGCCACGTGGGGCGCCTGTTGACTGTGATCCTCGTGGGTCGTCTCGGGCCTCCTCGAGGCCCTCTTGAGCCATCATGGGGAGCTCGTGGTGGGGCCGTACTGGGCAGTGTTGGGACCGTCTTAGGCCCTCGTGAGCCCTCGGCGGTCCTGGACCGTCCCTCTGAGAGCCAACTGCTTCGAAAACAACACGTCATCGATAAGGCGGCGAGTGTTATGTCTTTGGGCATCAGCGATTTGGGGAGTCTGTGGGCTCCCGAGGCGCAATCCTGGTGCTACCTTGAAGCCGTCTGAGACCGTCTGAGACCCACCTCGCACCTCGTTAGAAACCAAGCATTCAACGACTTGATCAACGACTGTACGCCAAAACACTCTGCAACCATCTGTTTTCCTGCATGCTGGCACGCATGTGATCCGCATTTTCGATCTGTTTGAGTCCTCTCGGGGCCTCTTCGGTTGCCTCGAGCGCCTTCTGGGCCTTCGCAAGCACTCTGGAGACTCCCGTGGTGCTATCTTTGGCCATCTTCGGGAGCCCATGGGACCACATACGCATCGCACGACCCAACCAGTGCATGCTAGACCTGGGCTCACGTCTGCCAACCCCGAGGCGCCCGCATCGACACCTCTTCCCTAGAGGGAAAAGAACTATGCACATGCACCGATTCTGGCCAGGCCCATCCTGAGCCCAGGATCGGTGCATACGCCCTCCTACCTTGGCCAGGAAGGCATATGCACCGATCCTGGGTCAAAGATGGGCCTTGCCAGGATCGGTGCATGTGCATAATTCTCTTCGCCCGATTCCCTGCCAAACAAAACTGCCCACACTCGTGATCGTGGCCGCCTCGTGGCTTGTGACCACGCCTTCGCTTGCTGTTCCGATGCAGCGTGGATGGCTCCGCCTGGAGCGATCGCGGCTCTCCGACGGCGGCGCACGTGGCTCACACCTCGGGGATCTTCTGACCCGGGTCAATCCAGACCCGGGTCAGCAGTAACAGGGGATATGTCGACCCCTATCCCAGGCTTCATGGGGTTTCCGAATGGACCAGAAATTTGGGGCCTAACCCTGGGATATACGATGGGGGGGTGTCCATTCTCGATAGGGGTGCGTCCGAATGGCCCCCTTGGGGTGTATCCCAGGGTTTTCCCATTCTTCTGAGCGGCCAAACTTTTTGGGCGAAACTCGGGGATTGGGGGAGAAACATCGCCTCGGGGATCTTCTGACCCGGGTCAATCCAGACCCGGGTCAGCAGGAAGCCAAAAACTGCAGTGCAGGAACAAAATAACTGCAACGCAGGTCTCCGCAAACCCGGGTCAGCCAATATGTGCGGCCGCCTCGCGGCCACGGGCGGCTCGCTGACCCGGGTCAGCCAGAGGGGGTCTTCGCAGGATCCTGCAGGATCCGGTGCCGTGGCTGACCCCCGTTTGCATCGACCCCCGTCTCAAGGCTCCCGAACACCGACCGATTGCTGGCCTCCGGCGGCCTTCGACGTCGAACTCCCGCTCTGGGGCGCGGCGCGAGCCTATCGCACGCGGCGCCTGCCACCATCGGCTGCCCTGCCCCCCCGCTGGGCCCGGAACTCCGGCGTCGAACCTGTCTCACGGAGGGGGCCCCGCAGGCTGAGAATCTGCCAGAGGCTTGGACGTGGGCACCAGAACCGCCACAGGGGGTTGCCTCCGCCTGGGGAAGGTGATCCTAGATTTTGGTGTTGGCGGCGGTCCGTCAGCTATCTAGGAAGTACCACCAGGGCCGAGATCAAGATCATCGTTCCTCGGTGGAGGCACATCGACGACCTTGGTGCTGGTGTCAACCTCAAGGTCTCCGAAGATGGCCGAAGACATGTCGTCGCGATGGGTGTCTGAGGATGCTCCGCTTCGAGCCAGCACGCCACGCGCGTCGAGGCACCGCTCCCCGTCGAAGCCGCCGCCGCCGCCGCCGCCGCCGCCGCCTGCGGCCTGCGCACAACACCCGCACCCGGCGTGACAAACGCTCGCGAGAGCCGTGCAGGGCCCCTCCACAAACCTGGCCAGTCCTCCGGCCCATGCCCCCCGAGCGGCGAGCGTAACCACATCCACGGGCGGCCAGCCCGG